GAGCGACGACGATGACGACGACGACGGCGACGACGGTGACGGCAACGACGACGACGACGACGACGACGACGGCGACGACGACGACGACGACGAGAACGACGACGACGACGACGGCGGCGACGGCGACGGCGACGGCGACGGCGACAGGCAGCGACGGCGACGGCGACGGACAGCGACGGTGACGGCGACGACGACGACGACGACGACAACGACGAGTTGGTGAACCGGTCGGGCGGGCGGAACACTAAGTGCAACTTTCACTCTGCGTTGGGAGACTTTATAATGAGACACTATATCACAACCGCCACAGACACAAGTCGGGCGGGTCGTCACTATGTGTCTATGTGTGGGGAAATGAAGCATGACCGCTAAAAACGCTGGTCGGGCAGCTGGGGCGTCCAAGTTGGGCCAGCCAAACATTTCATGCAACCTGCCCTGTGAGAAATGAGGAACTTAAGGGGGAATCGTTCACAACCGCCAAAGACGCCGGTCAGGCGAGCGGGACATTCTCAGTTATGGGGCGTCCATATCGGGCGGGCGGGACATTAAATATGCAATCTTCACTCTGTGTTCGGAGAATATCATGGGAGAATGTATCACGACCGCCAAAGATAGATGTTGGGCGGAAATCTGTAGTCAGGATGGGGCGTCCAAATGGGGCGGGCGGGACATTATATGCAACCTTCACTGCGTGAAATGAGAAAACTGACGGGGAATCGATCGAAACCGCCGAAGACGCCGTCCGGGCGGGCTGGATAATAAAGGAACCATTCGTTCAAACATAGGGCGTCCATATCGGGCGGGCGGGACATTAAATGCAATCTTCACTGGGGAGAATGTCATGAGACAGTATATATCACGACCGCCGCAAACGCAGCACGGGTGGGCGGGACATTAAATGAAACCTGTCGTCGTCGTCGACTTCGTCGTCCTCTTCGGCATCTACGTCGCCATAGTCGTCGCCATTTGTCGATCCTTGATTGCGCGTGCCGGCCCCCTGTTGCCAGCGTCGCCGCCGTCGTGTGCGCTCGCTGACCCCCCTCGTCGTCTTCGTCGTCGTCGGCCCTCGGGATTCTAGCGAGAGGCGAGGCGGGGGAGGACCTCCCGGTTTTCGGGGGGCCCGCCCCCCCCCCTGGGGCTCGGAGCCTGGAGTCATTTTACGGAAGCCCCCCCCCCCGCCCCAGTCGAACACGGGGGGGGGACCCTACAAGCGACCACCGAAAAAGCGCTTTCTTACCACGCGGTCGTCTGGGCCAACCAAAGCGGGGGTGGAGCACAACAGCAAGAACGAATCCGCCGAGCCCGGCTTGCCTGGGGTGAGAAGGCGTGTGAGATGATCAGCTGTCCCCCTCCCCCTTTCCCCGTCCCCCAGGGCCCAACATCCACCTTGAGGGCGAGGGAAGGGGGGGTATCCGGGCTCGTCGGCGCACTCAAAGAGGCTCTGGAGCGTCCAAATCTGCCGTCCGTGACCTTACAGACGTGCCAGAAGGTCCTGAATCGCCGAACGACTGGCCCACGACGACCACGATGGCTCCAAGACGCCTCAAGACGCCTTCAAGACGCCCCAGGAGAGGCCCAAGAGAGTTCTCAAGAGGGCCCCGAGCGGCAACAAATGATGATATCCACTGGATTTTTGTTTGTTACTTCTGGGGTTCTCGTCTCCTTGAGCTTCCGACGCTCCAGGACGGCCCAAGAGGCCCCAAAGCCCGCCCAAAAACTGCCCCGGAGGCCTCTCCGAGGGTCCCGGAACGGCGCCCAAGAGGGCTCCAAGACGGCCCAAAGAGGGACACGGCCAAAAGATCGTCCCAACAGGGTCCCGACAGAGGCCAAGAAGGAGGACACGAAACGAGAATCCGATCTTCCACCCCAAGAGGCTCCCCCACCAGAAGTCCCCAAGCCTCAACAGGCCCCAAGAGGCCCAAAAGAGGCCCCAAAACTGCCCCCAAGACGCTTCAACACCACCTCCAAGAGGCTCAGCCACGCCCCCAAACAGTTCCAAAGACATCCACTAAAGTCCCCAGGTCATGCCCAAGACGACCACGACGCCTCGACCGTGGACTCCCCGCCTCTTCTGGGGGCTGGCGGAAGGAATGGCGCAAGCCTCTTGAACCAACGAATCGGCACCACCCTCCTGGAGGCTGGGACGCCTCCTGGAGCAACCAAGAACCGTTCGGAAACAACGTGTTTTCGTGCTTGTCCCGCTCTGGGGCGTTGGAAGCCAACAGTTTGTCAAGCTTGTCCCGCCATGCGGGGTCAGGATCCCACGTGTTTTCAGGCTTGTCCCGCTCTGGGGCGCTAGGAACCCAAGCGTTTTCGTGCTTGTCCCGCTCTGGGAAGCCAGGGCTCAAGTGTTTCACGCTTGTCCCGCGCTGTAGCGCTAGACACCCATGTGTTTTCACGCCTGTCCCGCTTTGGGGCGTTAGGAGCCCATGTGTTTTCACGCTTATCCAGCTCTGGCGCGTCAGAAACCATGTGTTTGCACGAGTGTCCCGCTCTGAGGCGTTCTGGACCCATGTGTTTTCACGCCTGTCCCGCTCTGTGGCGTTGGGAACCCATGCGTTTTCACGTTCATCCAGCCCTGGCGCGTCAAGACCCCGTGCGTTTGCACGCTTGTCCCGCCTGGTGGCGTCGGGAACCCACGTGTTTTCACACGCTTCCGCGTTCCCAAGACCACCTGGGCATCCTGGGGCGCCGAAGCCGCTCAAGTGTTGCACAACAAGCGTGTCGCTCGAGATATCCTTGCCATCCCTTTGCGCAGGACGCGCCGTCCTCGAGCGGGCACGCAACATGTCAGCAGTTGCATATGTCATGTCAGAACTTAGCGTATCCAGATTTCGATATGTACTGCGGGTTCTGCGCAAAACGCTTTGCATTTCTTGAACAGAAAAAAACGGGGGTCAGCGGACCCCGTTATTTATCCAGGCTCCGAGATGGGGGGGACTTCCCTTGAGAGGACACGCGCGAAATGCATGTTCTAACACAAGATGGGGCTCCAAATCGTTTGTAACTTGAACGCCCCTGAAAGGGCAGACACCGCCGCCCCCACTTTTTGTCGGAGCCTGGAGTTTCCATTTGGGGGGTCCAGCACGGCCCCAGAGGGTCCAAGACGACGCGGAGAAGAGCCCAAGAAGGGCTTCCAAGGACCCCCTAGGCGCGCCCACAACCGCTCACCACAACACCAAAAAGGAGTACAGACGGGCATTGAGGGACCCGAGAGGCTGTTGAGGGCGGCCGCAGAGAGCATCCGCAGGTTCCAAGATGGCCGCAAGAGCCCGCGGAGATACACGGGAGCTCCAAGAGAGGCTCCAGGAACCGCCCGATAAGGACATAGTCGTCAGAAATCTATGTGGTTTACGATGCGTGTTACAATGCTCTTTACTTGTTGGGGGGCTCTGATGTATGAGACTCGAAGGCAGGTGGAAAGGCATCTGGGACGGCCGTTGGTGGCCAGAAGGGCGGTCAAGATCAGCCCAGAAAGAGCCCCGAGAGGCCCTCAAAACTGGCCCAGCAGGCTCCCGGAAAGGTGTCTGAGAGGGCTGGTGGCGCTCGGCAGCCGACCACGTGAAAGGGGGGTCGTTTTGGGACGAGGTGGTGGCCAGAAGGCGCCCCGGCCGCAGCCCGGGCACCTGGACCGGCGGAATCAGCAGGCCGCGGGGAGGGCACCAGGAGTTAACGGGCGAAGAACGGTATAAAATAAACTTTTTCGCCGTCGGGGACACCTGCCCCAGGGCGGCTGGAAAGTTTATACCCTTGCGGTGGCACCGTAGGGGTACAAACTTTCCAGCCGCCCAGGGACAGGAGCCCCCGACAACGAAAAAGTTTAGTTTAAACCGTTCTTCGCTCGCTGAAGGAGGGGCTGCCAGGGCTCCGAGGAGGGGCATTTGGCACGAGGCGTGCGTGGGCAGGGGACCGACAGGAAAGACTCCGTGCAGGCCACGCGGCGGGGATCTCACACGCCGTGCCCGGTGGGGCGGCGGGTCGAGCGAGATCCGCCGGCCCTCCGAGAGCTCGGAGCCAGGGGCAGTGGAGCACAACGGACAGAGAGCCCGGGGCCCACGCCCTTCTGCGGGAAGGAGGGATGGCAGGAGGGGGAGGAGCAGGTCCGACCACCGCCCAGGAGGGCCAACGAACAGCACCGGGGACATCGACGTCCAAATCCCAGTCGAGGCTTCTCAAGCAGTCCGGATCGGTCTACAGGTCTGGAGTGCTGCTCCTGTGGGAAGACGGAAAGACGCCACTAACATAAACTTTTGGCGCTCCGCGCGGATTTCTCGGATCTGCGCCAGACCCCCCCCCCTGGCGCGCGGAGCGCGCCAGGGGCGGCGCCGGAGGCGCCGCCCGGGGGACTCAGCGCGGATCCAAGAAATCCGCGCGGAGCCCCAAACGTTTGTGTTGATGGCGTTTTTTCGTCTTCGACCCTCAGCGCTCTGGAAGGCCAGGGTTCTCCTGCCCCGCCCCCACCGCCCTTCCTGCTGCAGCACCCCCCCTCGTGGCCTCCCTGGCCAGGCCGTCCGCGCTCTGCCGGCCCTCTCTCTCCGCGGCATCCTCCCCCCCTCTCTCCCTCCCTCTCCCTCTCCCCCTCTCCCCCTCTCCCTGCCCCCCATGTCGCTTCGCGAACTCACCATTTCCATTCCCATTTCTCTCCCTTCCCCCCTCTCCCTCTCCGCCGCATCCCCCCCTCTCCCTGCCCCCCCCCTTCCCGCCTTGAGACGCGCCTTGGTTTTGATGCGTCGGCTGCGCGCCGTCCTGTGGCAGCGCCCCTGGGGGACAGTGCTGCCTCCCATCCGCGTCCCTGCTGCCAACGCCTGCGGTCCCCCCTCCCCCCGCCCCCTCCTCCTCCTCCTCCTCCTACTCCTCCTCCTCCTCCTGCTCCTCCTCCTCCTCCTCGCTCCTCGTCGCTCCTCGCTCCTCGCTCCTCTTCCTCGCTCCTCCTCCTCCTCCTCCTCCTCCTCCTCCTCCTCCTCCTCCTCCTCCTCCTCGCTCCTCCCCCAGCTCGGGTCCTTGGACGCGGGCTCGCGACGGCTGGCCCGGAGGGGGCTGGAGCGCGCCAGGCGCAGGCCTGCGGCCGGGGGCGGGAGGCAGCGAGGCGGAGCCATGATCGGGGAAGGGCGTCTCGGGTCGGGTGCGCCCCCTGCTCATATTCTTCTTCTTCTTCTTCGTATTCTTCTTCTTATTCTTATTATTAGTATTAGTATTAGTATTGGTATTAGTGTTAGTATTAGTATTAGTATTGGTATTAGTATTAGTATTAGTATTAGTATTAGTATTTTTATTTGTATTAGTATTAGTATTATTATTAATATTATTATTATTATTACTACTACTATTATTATTATGATTATTATTCGTATTATTGTTAGTATTATTATTAACAACATTACTATTATTATTATTATTATTAGTAGTAGTAATATTACTAATAATATTAGTAGTCTTATTATTATTATTATTATTATTCCCCTCTCTCTCTCGCTCTCTCTCTCTCTCTCGCTCGCTCTTGCCCTCTCTCTCTCTCTCGCTCTCTCGCTTCTCTCTCTCTCTCTCTTTCTGCTTCTCTCCCTCTCTGTCCCTCTCTCTGTCTCTATTTTTTTTGTTTTTCTCTCTCTCTCTCTCTGTCCCTCTCTGTCCCTCTATCTGTTTGTTTGTTTCTCTCTCTCTCTCTCTTCCCTCCTCTCTCTCTCTCTGTTTCTCCCTCTCTCTCGCTCTCTCCCTCTCCTCCCTCTCCTCTCTCTCTCCTCTCTCACTCCGACGTCGTGTTTCTCCTCACAATGTGGTTTCCTGGAGGTCTGCGCCCCCTTCTAGGACTGGCTTTTCATCCCGCGTCGTTTTCTGGCGGCCCCGCAACCCCCAAAATTGCCACAGACCGTCGGCCGTGGTGTTTTCAGGACGCGAGGATGTTAGGGTATCTTCGGTTCCGTCTCTCGTGACCCCATCACTTCCTCCATCCTCTCACCCCCTCTCCTGCCACATCCTCCTCCTCCTCCTCCTCCCCGGCCCTGCCCTCTCCCTCTTCGCCGTGGTCGTCGCCGTCTTTGACTTCGCCCCCCCTGCCCTCTGCCGCCTCCTCATGTTTTCCTCGTCGCCCCCCCTCCGCATCTGCCTTCTCCTCACTTTTCTCCCCACCCTCTGCTTCCGCATCGTCCTCCGACCCCACCTCCTCTGCAGGTCCTTCTCCCGTCATCACCCCTCCATTGCCTTCTCCTCTCCTCCGGACCCTCCCCGTCCTCCCCCCCCCCGTACTCCTCCCCTCCCCTCACCCGCTCCCCCTCCCCCTCTTGTGCCCTCTCCCACTCCCCCTTCTGCCTCCCGCTCTTCTCTTCTCGTCCTGCCTTCCTCCAGGCCTCCCTCCCATCTTCCTTCGCCTCATCCTCCTCCCTTCTGCTCCTCTGTCCGTGCCCTCCTGGCCCCCCTCCGCCCCCGCAGCTGGGACAGGAAACGCGCGCAACGCGTGCACCACCGCAGGCTGGAAACGCACGTGGCTGGATTCCCCCACGTGCATCGGGTCGGGCGAAAGGGGGAGATAGCAAAGGGGGGGGTTGAGAATCAGCTCACGTAGCCGATTTTCCTGGCGCCTCCCGGCGCCGGGAGGCGCCCATGTATCGAGGAATGGGCCCCTCGGTGAGGCCGAAACCAGCTGCATGCAGCAAATTTCGTAACCCCCCCTTTCCCAATCCCCCCCTTTCGCCCGGCCCGAGTGGAGCACTCGGAGAGGCCACGCGCTGGAGATACGCGCGCGGAAGTCCGGCCCACAGCCCCACAGCCCCTCCGGACACATGTGCATCCCCCTCTCGCCCAGGCTGGCCACGCCATGAGGCGGCGCGCCAGGGGGAGGGGGAAGTGAGAAGGGGGAGGAGGAGGAGGAGGAGGAGGAGGAGGAGGAGGAGGAGGAGGAGGAGGAGGAGGAGGAGGAGGGAGGAGGAGGAGGAGGAGGAGGAGGAGGAGGAGGAGAGGGAGAGGGAGTAGGAGGAGGAGGAGGACGAGGAGGAGGAGGAGGATGAGGAGGAGGAGGAGGAGGAGGAGGAGCAGGACGGGCCTTCTCAGAAGGCTCGGGACGTCCCCCGAGCCTTCTGAGAGAAGCTGTCTGAACCTTCCCCGAAGACGCGCAGAAGTCCTCAGGAGGCGCGAGGGCTCCTGAGAAGCCCCGCCGCCTTCTGAGAAGGTCCTCTCCTTCCCACTTCCCCCGCCCGTGCTCGCCGCCGAACCATGTGACCGACTCCAGAAACGTTTGTTTGACTTGCGGCCCGCAAGGAGAAGTCCAGAGGGCGGTATGACCGAGGCTGGGGCACAGCGACAGATAATTGGCGCGAGAACGCGCGAAGTGCACCTGCAAACAAAGTAGGAAGAGAGGCGGCCACAATTGGGCCCGATTCCAGAAACCCGGAACCCCCCAAAACGGTTCCGTCTCTGGGGGGGCGCATCTTTCAATCCCGCCGCCTCCGCCGGCGGAGCGCCGTCCTCGTTTTGCTCCCGGCGCCCTCCGACGACCTTGCGCCGAGGAAGAGGTGCCAACTCCCTTCGGTCCTCGGAGGCGAGGCCCTTTCTGGAACGCCTAATGTGTACAGTCGGACTTGTTTGGGCAGGACACGCGAGAGGGCACGAGATCCTTCCAAGGGCCACAGTGCAATAGGAATGTAGGAGGCATGGGTCGCGAGACACAGGACACGGGGGTACCCTCGATGTGGCAGGGTCGACCTGCTAATCAGGGCCGACTGTACACTGTGGGTTCAGCTTCACGTGGATGTTGTAGCTGTGCGCGTGCAGTTGGCAGCGCGTGAGGATTACGTCCTGTGCGCTCATGTGGCGTCCATCCTCGGCACACGGCGCACACTCGAACCGTCTCGCTCGTCTTCTGCGCGCGTTGGAGGCTGAAGGGCATGCACGCGCTCTTCTTCGGGGTGGCACGTAACCCTTCGCCGTTGATGTGGCAGGGACCTTGCCGCCGCCGCCATCGTCGTCCTCGTCGTCGTCGTCGTCGCCGTCGTCGTCGTCGTCGTCGTCGTCGTCGTCGTCGTCGTCGTCACCTTCCGTCACCGCCGTCGTCGTCGCCGCCGGCCGTCGTCGTCGTCGTGGTCGTCGTCGTCACCGCCGTCCGTCGTCGTTGTCGTCGTCGTCCGTCGTCCGTCGTCCGTCGTCGTGGTCGTCGTCGTCACCGCCGCCGCCGCCAGCGAAGCCGCCGTCGTCGTCGTCGTCATCGTCGTCGTCGTCGTCGCCGTCCGTCGTCGTCGTCGTCATCGTCGTCCGTCGTCCGTCGTCCGGCGTCGTCGTCATCGTCGTCGTCACCGCCGCCGCCGCCGCCGCAGCCGTCGTCGTCGTCGTCGTCGTCGTCGTCGTCGTCGTCGTCGTCGTCGTCGTCGACTCCGTCCGTCGTCGTCGTCGTCTTCATCGTCGTCGTCGTCGTCGCCGTCCGTCATCGACGTCGTCGTCGTCGTCATCGTCGTCCGTCGTGGTCGTCGTTGTCGTCGTCCGACGTCGTCATCGTCGCCGCCGCCAACGCCGCCATCTCCGTCGCCGTCGCCGTCGTCGTCGTCGTCGTCGTCGTCGTCGTCCGTGATCATTCCGTCGTTGTCGTCGCCGTCGTCATCGTTGTCGTCATTGTCGTCGTCGTCGTCGTCGTACGTCGTCTTAGCGTTTTCGTCATTATCGTCGTCGTTATCGTCGTCGTCGTCGGCCATCGTCGTCGTCGTCCATCTTCGCCTCCACCGCTGTCGTCGTCGACGTCGTCGTCGTCTTCGTCGTCCGTCGTCGTCGTCGTCGTCGTCGTCGTCGTCGTCGCCATCGTCGTCGTCGTCGGCGTTAAAGTCGTCGTCGTCGTTGTCGTCGTCGTCGTCATCGTCGTCGCCCGTCGCCGTTGTCGTCGTCGTCGTCCGTCGTCGATGTCGTCGCCGTCGTCGTCGTCGTCGCCGTCGCCGCCACCGTCGTCGTCGTCGTCGATGCCGCCGCCGTCCGTCGTCGTCGTTGTCGTCGTCGTCGTCCTTTGTCCGTCGTCCGTCATCGTGGTCGTCGTCGTCACCGCCGCCGCTGCCAACGCCGCCGCCATCGTCGTCGTCGTCGTCGTCGTCGCCGTCCGTCGTCGTCGTCGTCGTCATCGTCGTCCATCGTCCGTCGTCGTCGTCCGTCGTCCGTCGTCCGGCACCGCCGCTGTCGTATTCGTCGTCGTCGTCGTCCATCATCATCGTCGTCGTCGTCGACTTCGTCCGTCATCGTCGTCGTCGACGTCCTCGTCCGTCGTCATCGTCGTCGTCATCGTCGTCGTCGCCGTCCGCCATCGACGTCGTCGTCGGTATCGTGGTTGTCGTCGTCGTCGTCGTCGTCGTCCGTCGTCGTCGATGTTGTCGACGCCGCCGTCATCCGTCGTCGTTGTCGACGCCGCCGTTGTCGTCGTCGTCGTTGTCGTCCGTCGTCGTCGTCGACGCCGCCGTCACCGCCGCCATCTCCGTCGCCGTCGCCGTCGGCGTCGTCGTTGTCGTCGTCGTCGTCGTCGTCGTCGTTGTCGTCGTTGTCGTCGACGTCGTCGTTGTCGTCGTTGTCGTCGTTGTCTTTGTCGTCGTCGTCCGTCGTCTTTGTCGTTGTCGTCATTCTCATCGTCGTTGTCGTCATCGTTATCGTCGTCGTCGACGTCGTCGGCCGTCGTCGTCGTCGTCCGTCGTCGCCGCCACCGCCGTCGTCGTCGACGTCGTCATCGTCGTCGCCATCGTCGTCCGTCGTCGTCGTCATCGCCGTCGTCGTCGTCGTCGTTATCGTCGTCGTCGTTGTCGTCGTCGTCGTCGTCATCGTCGTCGTCGGTCGTCGTGGTCATCGACGTCGTCCGTCGTCGACGTCGTCACCATCGTCGTCATTGTCGTCATTCTCTTCGTCGTCACCATCGTCGTCGTCAATCGGCGTTATCGTCGCCGCGTCCGCCGCCGCCACCGTCGCCGCCGCCAACGTCGTCGTCGTCGTCATCATCGTCGTCCGTCGTCCTCGTCATCGTCGTCGTCGCCACGTCCACCGCCGCCGTCGTCGTCGTCGTCGTCGTCACCGTCGTCGTTGTCGTCTGACGTCCGTCGTCATAGTCGTCGTCGTCGTCCTTGCCGTCGTCGTCGTCGTCGTCGTTGTC